TTTTTCCCACCTGATTCTTTCAACGGAGTGGCCCTTTTTCTCTGCTTCTATCGGCGGTTACTGTGCCGAAAACTTTCATATATGATATGTTGTCGCCCATACAGACTGAACAGACTGAGTGTCATTGTAAAGCTCATCGTTCCATTGCCTGCGGTATTCGTTGTTGCTAATGCCCAAGGGTCTATGAATTGTCGAGAGAAGACATTTCTCTTATATTGCCTATTTCGACTGCTACTCGTCAGGGAATGTAAAGCCGTCTGCATTTTTGACATGAAATTAAAGTTCCTTATAAAAATCCATCGGCCATCCGAAGAACACTAACTTATACCATAACTTGATGGAGGAGATCGACGCTTCGTTCATTACCAAGCTCATTCGCTTCATCACTTGCATCTTAAAGAAAGTTTATTCTGCGAAGAAGCTGTTGGTCTTCAAGCGGGTTATCGGTATATTCGAACTACCTCATAGCAGGGTTTTGGTACGACTTTTCCATCATCGTTGATTGAGAAATCGGGCTGACTATCTATAAGTGTTGTACTTTCACTGCCATTCACCAGCAGGGTTTACTCCATAAACTCAGTTTCGTCAGGTAATTGTTCAAAGCATCAGTTTTTTGGCTCCAACATGAGTACAATAATAATATTAATAAGTTCAAGGATTACCCTCCTCTCGACCAATCGCATCCCCAATACGTACGGAATTTGCATAGTCATGAAAAGCGAGAGTATCCACTGGTCTTGAAACCTTGTGTTAGTCCCAAATCATTTGACGAAATTCAAGATTTTTGAGCACTCTACAGAACGGCTAGCTCACTCTTTTTTTTAGCAAAGGCGTATCAGCTCGTGCCAGGATCGTCCGAACGGTGCAAAGTGGGCAGTTAACTTTTTCTCCTTTGCTTGCGGCATTCATCAGGGCTCTCAGGAGTATAATTTTGTTCGAGACCCGGCTAGCTGTATGTCGTGATTGCAGCTTATGACTTTGAATATTTTTCATGTCTATTGAAGTCTCTGGAAACATGTCTTCTCTTTATAAAAACATAATCGAATTACTGGTACTGCTCATGATCGAATTTTATTGTATAACCCAACAGCCACAGCCCCTTTGGAGATGTTACGTGGTGGAGGCTAAATTTTTCGACTATGGGACGAACAAACCTACTTTGTCTTGTCATAGAAAGCAGCTATTGTCACATTGCTCTCCTCATTACTTTGACACCGCCAAGTTTGTGCTCCTTTATGACCACAGTAAAAGATTTCTCGAGAACTCACTTTTTTCCGTTCTTTTCTCTTCTTTCGCACTTCCTGGATGGCGCTGAAGTCGGCCTTAATTTTAACAAAAACAATAACCAGCTGGGCAATGGCATGTCCCAATGTCCTGCGGGGTATCTCTAAAGCACACTAAAAGTTCTAACCATATTTAGGTGCATTGATTTGAATATATGTGTATATACGTGTATGTATATAAGTATATGCGGAGGCGACATATTGTACGATCGAATACCAAAACAAAGTTTCGTGAATAGCAAATGCATACTCTTATGCTATGTACATGTGTTCGCCACATAGATAGTCGTAATATCCATTTTATTTCGTTTACGGTCGTGTTGGGTGCATTCAATATGAAATCAATTATGCTCATCTGCATATAAACTGCTTTGCTGCTAACCTCACTTATATCCGGCCGAGACCCGCTCACAACCCTGCCGCTACCTTGCTAACCATGGAGCGTTCATTGTCGCCTGTGCATCCGGCTCATCGTCTGACTAAATTTGTCAATTGAAGTGCATAAAAGCAATGTGTTTTTAGGCTCTTTAATATGCAACTCCTTGAGGCGTTCCACCATCGTTGCAAACACACACACACACACACATGTACGGTATGTACACGCACACACACTCACTGCGTTCGACTGTCGGTTAGACAGTTCCGCTCTATGCAGTGTTGACTCCAATGATGTTGTGTACGTACCTTGGGTATAATGTGCAGATATATTGTTGAATCTTTGCATAATATTTGTTGCTGCCGCTCGGTTCACATGTACACTACGGCGTAACGGTGCAACGTTAACGGTAATGTGCAAAAGTTGCATTTAGTCGATTTGGCCTGTTTATAGTTGACTTGACTCTGAGTGTTTGCACATTCATTGCGATATTTATGAACTCGATTTGTGTGTGTAAACAAAGCAAAACAACGTAAACCGTTAGCTATTGAATGGCAGTAGAAGTGCACTTCGTTGGAGTGTCGGAGTTTTGGAAAAACGTGTTGCGGTAACGTAACGGGAATAAGTTTGATTTGTTTTTATGTAAATGTAAAAAAAAATATTTCGGAAATAAATATGGTCGTTGGGCAATGTGAGACAAAAAAAAATAAAAGAATAAATAATGGGATTGCATTTCTTCCTCTGTGGAATAAAAGTTGTTCATTCGACATGGTGAACTTTTAAGTTAAGAGCGCTTAAATTTAAATCTAAGAACTGCGAATTTCCGTAAATATTTGCCTTAGATAAGTTTTCTACAAATCGAAATAAATTAAAATTATGCTTGTCTTTTATACATAAATAATTGGCGCTTTGTAGCCGTTGACGCCGAGCTCCTCCTCCACTTTGTGGTTTTGCGTCTTGATGTTTTCGCAACAAATAGAGGGGCTTACTATTTATACTAAACCACCTTTAAACGGCCGATGGTTTGTTTATGAGGAACCTTTACTTTATGTCAGAAATACACTCAGAGTCGTTGAGATTTCTTGCCGAGGGGCGACCGCAATTAGAAATGGTCGAATGGTGTTAAAACTACAAAATTTGCTTGGTACCAAAAGAGCCAATTTTTGAAATAGAATGGCTTATGAACCTTCAGCTAGTCAAAGGAGATGCCGGCAGATAGGCGTCGTCTGATGTAAGAAACCTCCGAATGACTTTCCGAATAAAGCGCTTGTCGTTGATCTTAATTTCTAGGGTTCGGATTGTGAAAAAAAAAAGATTCCTTATATAAGGCATATATGCAGCAGTTTGTGCTAAAATCCTAAAAGGATCAATGGGTTGAGCAGATTCTAGAAATATAATTCACGTGCTTAAAGTTTCAAAAGTACCAAGTTACTAATGCTTTACTGTTAATTTAGATAGAACACGGGAATATGGGCATGTAAAATCTAAAGGCAATTTACAAAGAAAGAAAATTAAATAGATAAACAGGCATCATGCGACCCACCCACGCAGGCTTATAAAATGAGCGAACTACATAGTGTGTTTTTCGCCGCTTCGAGGTATTTAATGCCGCAAGAACTTATGTCGACATACCCTTCTTCATCTTAGACCCAGCAGTTGCGACCAAAATTATAAAAGCATAACTAAATTCTCTTACTGTGAAAACCCATTCAACAGTTCATTTTTATTATGCTCCTTTTTGTACTGCTTATGTCTTTTAGCACCAAATTCCCTGCAGTTTCATTAAGACATCTCATATTGGGTTATAAGTAAAGGTATACCAGGCGATTATATGACGGAGGTTAAAAAATCCGTATGATTTAAATTTAATAATTGCAGGAATTATAAAAATGAGTACCCATACTGCTGCTGATGGGCCTAAATATGAGGCAAGCACAGGAACGGGATTCTTCAAGCTCAGTGACTATAGCTTTGCCTTTCAAGCATACTGAAACTGCCATATGGGCAACCGCTTCAATTGGAAAAGCTCTTTGGTTTCTGGTAGACAATCAAACGGCAGCTCAGACAGTTAAGTGTGTCAACAGAGTATCGCGGGAAAACATAGTGAACATCAATAGGGTCTCAGCTCACACGGATGTAGAAGGCAATGAGAAGATCTTCCAGTGCCCTCAATTGTTATCTAATGCAGTGGACCATTGTGGAACACTTAAGTTCTTTGAATACTTCCACCACACTGAAAACTACCACCAATATATTGTATTATTGTAGGACAGTATGGATCGTAGACAATCTAAACTGTTACTAATTCTTCTAATTTACTAGCGTAGCCATCACTAACCCGAATTAACCGAGTTAGCAATTAACAACAGCGCGCCTTTACTTACTTCTCTTTGTTTTAGATGTCGATTGGGAATACCACGTGTAGCCACCAGGTCTTTCTCTACCTATTCTTTCCTTTCCTCTGCTTCCACCTGTGGGTACTAAATCGAAGCTGGAGAATTTTAACCGTCCATACTACATAACCTATCCAGTTTACCTACTGTATCTTGATTCGCTGTCTCAATGTCGCCGTGTACCTCGTTTGGATCCCACGCAAACAATTTCTTTCGAAAACTCCAAACGCGGACTTATCGTTCATGTCATCGCCCGATTAAGTAGTACCAGAATAATAAGCGACTTGTTGAGTTTGGTTTTGGTCCAGCGAGAGAGGACTACTCTCGACGGCTATTATTTGACTACTCAGTCCGAAGTAGCATTTATTGGGAAGAGTGATTCTGCGTTGGATTTCAGTGTTAATACTTGTTTCAAGAGGCGAAGTTATCTACGATTTCAAAGTTATAACTGTTACTTGCATTAAGCTAAAGAAAACTTAGGATTTTTATGCATGTAATGGCGGTGCATCTACCCCTGAAATATGATCACCAGAAGCTAGGTATGGTGGAATTGGATGACTAAGTGTTAACTTAAACCGCAGACTCGGTCTTTAGTCGATTAAGACGTCATATATTTCACAATGTCCTTGGCTGCAACTTTACGGAGGTGAACACACATGATTGGAGGGAATTAAACTGGTTAAACTGGTTGCAAATGATCCTAATAGTAAACTTAGTATAAGCGGTGGAGCCTAAACAACGACCTAGGTGTAAACGCCAGCAATCAGGTTCTAAGCCTTGTCTTTAAAACAACCAACTAACTAACCAAGGCTTAAATAATTTATTTGATTTCTCTTTCTTTATTTATAAAATATTTTATTCGAAATTTTATATTTTTTCTTTTTTGGTTAGATAAATTATATTTTCAACCTCTAATTTTTTTTAATTAAAGAAATATTTTTCTTGCAGATTTAACCGTGAATATTGCCCGATAAGTGTTACACCTTCGAAATTGGCTACGAACCCACAACAGAAATCAGATTTCACATAAATATTTACAGCAGCGTCAACACGATACCTCCCATCCGTCGTCTACTACAATACTAAATATTACAACTGCAGAGTGTATATAAATACATAAATACAAACATACAAACAAACTGGCATACATAAGTCGTATATTCATTTATATGCTGGTTGTTTATTGTACACATCTGGCACTTTAAAAAAAGGGTATTAAATTATATACATACATACATATATACTCGTAGGAAGAAACAAAATTTCTTCGCCAACAAAGTGTCAACATAAAACATCAAATTGGCGGTTGGAGTGTGGTTTTGGTTTGGTATTTTTAAATACATCATAATTTCGCACAAGATCCGGTGATGTGGGACAACCCCCGCAACGGGAAATGCAACAAACCCAACGTTATATACCGTCTGTATCTGATTTATATGGAACGGACGAGATAGAACTCCTACTGGACGAAATACGTGAATTAGAACCGGTCTGCTGTCAGCTGGACGATGAACAGGATTTTGAAATAGCTGGCAGCAGAGCCGGTGAGCTGTCACTATCCTTAGAATCGCCGCTGGGCACGTGCACGTCGTGGGACTCGCACGCCAATTATAAACAGCGCAGCGGCCAAACGCCACTGCCATGGGGTGTAGCCCTACACTGTGATCCGCAACACTTGAAAACGCCTACAGGGATTGTGCGAATTCTTTTGGTGGTAAGTATGATGAGGCACCTACATATTATAATGACTAAAATCATTTTCTTTTTTTTTTTTGCAAACTCTTACAGTTATCGTCAGCCGCTTGTCTCGCCTGCGAATGTTCCGCCGGCACAGTACAAGTTGGCCTCTTTTTACTGCCACTCATCGGACGCTTGAGATTAATGGTCTTCTGTGCGATCTTCTCCTTACTAATCACCTGTCTGATGTTATTTCTAGATATTTCACACATAGCACTCATGTTCCCCTTCAATTGGACTAAAGTTGTAAGGAAGTGATTATGCTTTATTTACATGAATTCATTGAAAATATTTTAGCTTTTTTTTTTTTTTTTGTTTAAATCTAGATTTTAGTAAAGCAAACTTATTTTACTATTACAGAATACATGGATGTACCTGAGCATTGGTTTGATATTAATATTGAGCTCGACACTGGTAATGCATATGGTGCTTTACGCTGAAGAATACATTGCCGTCAACAAGCACACCAAGGACACACTTTTTACTTCAGCGGTATTATTATTCTCTCAAAATATTTTGATTTTTGTATTGTACTAAACCCCAGGGACCAGCATTTCATATGAGTCTTATTAGACTCTGCTAAAATTTTTATTTTTTTAAATTTATTTTTAGTTAATACCTTTGAAAGACTAGATTTGGTGGGAAGCTTATTCACAGAGTTCTTGTCAGATAGCTACTACGCTCATCAAAGATTCGGTCTGGTAGAACGTTTGAAATTGAAAAATCCTTTGTGGGTTTTTAAGCACTCACCATGTCACATCGCTTTTTGTCCAGCTTCGGTTCATTTGAATATACATATATATTAGATGAAAAATAATTCATTGCTTAGAACTGAAGGCTTTCCTTATCATATTTGAGAATATTCTATTTCTGCCAAATATACACCACTTTTCTCGATGACTTTGAGGCCAATACTTCACCAGCCAAAACATTCGCCATATATAGATACAGTAATTACTTGGCGCGCAGAGCTTCTGGAGACTGACTATCGATGTGTGTGGTCTGGCGTTGTCCTAATGAAAAACAATTCCCTACTTTTGGTGCATGATGCACATTTCTGGGTGTAGCTTTCTTCAGACGGACCAATTGCTGACAATGCAGGTCCAAAATAAGAGTTTGGTCTCAGGAAAATAGCTCATAGTGGATGGTTCTTGCCGATGATTTCAAACACTTTTTGTGCCAGCCCTTTTACCAAGATCGTTATCCTTTGACGTTGCTGAAAGGGATCCATTTTCATTACCACTCTCTATTCTTTTCGTAAATGGGTCGATTTTGTTATGATTCAACAGAAATTAGTAGATAAAAATTTTCTCATTAGCTCATGTAGCACCCATAAATCGAGCTTCTTTGTGTATCCAGGCTTTTTCAATTGGTTCCAAACCATTTTTATTAGCTCCTGTTAGTTCGTCTTTATGGCTATATAAGGGAATGAAATAGCTGATAAAGTGGCTAAAAGGAGAATATTTACTGAATAAGTACTTACCAGACCCATTAAGGGTAGTGTAGAACACACAAGACATGTTTTTATTACGACCCATTAAAAGGCTTTAGAATGGAAAATGGCTACAAAATATGGAGAAATATATGATTAGTAACTAAAAGTTCAAACTCTGGGTCGTTAGTAGAGACTACCTCACATTGCCTTAAATAGGGTCTGGTTGAGATCTCCAAAACAGCAAATGCAGGGAATATGTAGTCTGTAAGTACACGGTGCCCTGCAGGGTTTTCAAGTAGCAGTAGAAAAGGGACCAAAATGCTTTCTTAACTTTGCCAAAAGAACAGCAATGTTTTTCCAATAAGAGAGATACAGCAGGAAGTGAATGAACGATGTATTTGTTAGCCTAGACTTTCTGTTCCACCAATGCTTTGCTTTCTTTGTTCTGTTAGTGAGTTTAAGGACTATTAAGTGGAGCCCTTCCAACCAACCAACCCAACCGCTAAAAACAATCAATACATCCGAGAGCTTATCTCAGTAGTTTCTACTCAAAAAATTACATATTTGGTTTCTTAACGCTGAATTGAAATGTACAAGAAATGAACTAAACTGGCCGTGCCCATCGCCGAATTTTAGAGGTGGTGAACTGATTTTCAACTGCTAGACTAGGCAGCCGTGATATTCTACCTACTGCGCTTCTTCTGTATCCATGTAATTACGACAAAAATCATTACAGGAATAAGCCACCTTTCCACCGGGAGTCCCCATCAGTCTGCCTTTGGGGTTCTACCAATTGCAATGCTAATAGGACACCAGCTTAGAGGTACCAGATATCTGATCACATTGTGTGGAGCTTCCACGAGTCACTTTCTATTGATCTTCCTGTGGTAGACTAATCTGAGAGAGTTGTTTTCCAAAGAGAAAAGGTAAATGGGGAAAGTCCATGAATTTTTTAACTCGCTGCTTCTGTCCCTGCAGACCAGTCGAGACTCGGTTTAGAGAGTTCCCTCCACTCTACTACAACTTTGTTTATGGTGAATAAATATTTTGACTTTTTTGTAACTAAAATACGGTTCTTCAGACCCTTTTACATTGACTTCTTCATAAATATACGAAAGTTAGAACCCAAATTGATTAAGAGCTATCTAACTGTAACTCTGTCTTTTAAAACAAACAAGCTAAACTGGGGGTAGTTTTTCCTCCTTTAAGCCTTGCCAATTTTTTTTTTTTTGTAATCCCAGCGCCTTATTTATTATTATTATTTCATTTTTTTTTTTTAAATATTTTCCGGCCACAAATATTGATGGTTTTATTATCGCTTGAATCATCAATTTAATTATTTAATTTTGTTCTACCAGTTTATCGGTTACATTTGTGCCATCGAATCATTTATACTATCTGGTATTGCCTCCTGGCCATGGACGCAATATTATCGTCAGGTACCCGACGATGGTAGTGAAATGTATATTGAAGATCGTGAAATGACACCAATGAGTCCAATCGAGAGTACAGATGTGCCGAATACACATCATCAAATACAACATAACAATCGAAATAATAGCACTGCACACAGCGAAACAAATCACAATAATCAGCAACAGCAACAAATACAACAACAACAGCAACAACAACAATACAATCGAATATCATCGTCGTCGTCCTATAATCAAAAGCCTTATATACCTGGTAAGGAAATATTTATTGCACATTAAAAAAACTAACAATAGAATATAATATTGTAAATTAAATTAGTTTTCAAATTTCTTCAAAATAAAATTAAAAAAAGCAAATTGAACTTAATAAAATAAAAAAATTATTAAAAAATTATATTAAATTAAACTATATGCAGTTATATAAAACAAAATTGAATTAAATTATATTTAAATAAGAAAATTATTAGGTCAAGTAAACGGTTCGGTTTTTATTGAAGAGATGGCCTTAATGTCCATGGTACTAGTGTTACGTGTCGCTTCATGTCATACTGAAAACGGCGCTGTAAAAGTGTTTATTCGCGCTAAAAATTTGTCTTTGACAGTTTTTCGATTGATTGACTCAGTACGTTGTAAGCGCTGAAAAATGTGTCACTCACGACAACAACGAGCGCAAACGGTCGTGTTCAAAGCTTGTGGAAGCGGCCCAGACGGTGGCCAAGACCGGATTGATGACCAGGAAGGTTTTGCTATGTGTTTGATTGACAAAGAATCATCTACTATGAGCTGCTCCCCTATGGCCAAACGCGCAATTCGGCTCTCTACTTCCAACAAATGAACCGCTTGAAGGCAGCACTCTCTTCTGGATGAGCCCATCTTTTATCAACAGAGGCCGAATTGTGTTCCATCAGGACAACGCCACGTCTTTGGTGACGCGCCAGAATCAATAAAAAAACAAACGAACTTCTTACTTGACTTAATAAATAAAACAAATTAAAAAAAAACAAAGTAGATTTATTTTATTCTATAAAATTATTTTTAATATTTAAAATAAAATAAAACCAAATAAAATAAAAAAAATAAATATAAACTAAAAAAAATAAAATTACTTTATACAAAAAAAAAAAAAAGTAAATAGAGTTAGATTAAATGAAAATGAATATTAAATAAAAAATATAATATATTGAAATAAATTAAAATCAAATAAAACAAAAAACAAATAAAATAAAAAAGGGATATGAAATAAAATAAAATAATATAAGTAAATACAAAAAAATTAAATACTATAAAAAAATTAAAGAAAATTAAATTAAATTAATCAAAATAAAATTATTTTATATGCAATAAAATAAAACAACATAATTTAAACTAAAATAAAATAAATTTAAAAACTTTAAATGATTTAGATTTTAATTAAATTAAGTAATTAGTTTCTCTCAATAGTATTGTCACTTTTTTTTCAAATAAAATAAAGCTTATTTTTTATTTTTAATACTAATTTTTGATGTACGTACGTACACAAATAACTCACTATGAACTGTAGCCAAATATTTAAAATCAAAAATTTCAGGCGATGTGCTTTCTCCTTTCAAGAAAATAAAAAATTAATTACTAAATACAATTTTTATGCTAAAAATTAAGCACTAGTTTTGAAAATAAATATTATACCTGTAAAGAGAAAATGTAAAAAAATAAGCACTTCGAAAACTTTTCATTTAAGAAAATTTTTAATAAAAAAAATAAACTCCATCTTTTCAGCCAAACGACCCAATGAATTGATTAACCAAAGACCAACACTGGGCCACACCCAAACAACCAGGAAACCAAATACTCGTTACCGTGAAGGCTATCATTATCAACCAGTTGCGTCAACGTCCCGCCAGAGTCCCACATTCGTCTTAGGCGATGACATTGGGGCCGGTCCATCCACATCCCGATCCAATGATAATTCTAGTGCGTGATAGTTTTTATTCCTCATAATAATGTAATGAAATTTAAAATACAATAAAAACCAAAAAGAAATAATAATAATAGTGAAGACAAGAAAACAATTTAAATCAATAAAAGAAAGCGTACACAATAAAACATTGTCATTGAATGAAAATTCATAATAATCATAATAATTATTATAACGAAGTTGGAGGAAGAGAGAGTAAGAAAATATAAAAAATAGTAATAGAAACCAAAAATTATATTAATATATCTGCGGGTATGAAAATAAAATGATTGTAAAAGCTGAATTTTGGTTTAGCAACGAATACTGAAGAGAAAATCTATTATAATAAAGAGAAAAAAACATTCAAACAAAATGCATTTGGTAATTGTAACGAATTGTTTATAGCTGAATAAAACAAAAAAAAACATATATATATATATATAAATTAAAAAGGAAAATTAAATAAAAAAAAAAATATATATATATATGAGAAAGCAAACAACAATAAATAATAGTTTTAAATGTGTGTGTGTAAAACAGAGTTAAAAATGAACAAAAAATGGAAAAAAAAAAAAAAACAAAAACACTAAGAATTCAATGAATTTAAACACTGCAATAATGGCGAAGAAATGTGGAGACAAACAAAAAATGAATAATTAGCAGAAAAAATACAAAACAAATGTAGGTAACGATCAAACATATGTATTTATGTTAGGTACTATTATAAATAAATTTCAAAGGCAAAAATAAAATAAAAATAAAAATAAAAATATCGAATAACCATTTTTGTGTGGTTGCAAATGGTGGCAACGCCAAATAAAGCGTCCAGTAGCGTTTAGTGGAATCATATTGAAATGGGTTCAAATTTTTATGAATCCCAAAATGTCGTGAAACTACGAAAAACAATTAAAAACACTGTTGTCTGCATATTCTGTTCCAATTGTACTTTGTATATTAACATATTATATTATTATTTATAATTATTCAACATAAATTATTTTTTCTCCAGCCATTATTTTAATTTTTGAAAACAATTATTTTAATTTCAAATTTTTTCTCAATGAAACGCTAATTAAAATTTTCAATCGAATTTCTTTTCCAAAATATATTAATTATTTCTTTATTAAATTTATACATATGAAAAAATGTTTCATTCAAAAATGTTTATTTCGAAAAATATTAATTTTCAATTGCTATATTCAAACGTTGTTTCCCCTGTTGATTTTAAAAACTCTTTTAATTTCCGTAAAACATTAATTGCAATACATAAAAATGACATTTATTGTTAACATGAATTATTTTTGAATAAAATTTTTATGTGATTTTTTAAATACTTCATATACCTTATATTAATTAATGGATTTGAAAATTCGTTTTCAAAAATTATAAATATTCTCAAATTAACTCAGTTTTTTTTATGTGAAGAAAATTCTCTCACTTTCGTTAAATATAAGCAATTAATTTCTAATTTTATTTTGTATATTTGAATAAACTTTGATCGTTCATCATTAACTTTAGTTTCTATCATACTAAAAATTTTAAATTTTATTGAATTCAATTTTATGCCCTCTTTTGGCTTGTTTTATGTTATTTTGCTTTGATATATTTATTTTATGCTACCTCACTTAATGAAATTTTTAATTAATAAAATTTAATTTAACAAATTTGTTTCTTTAAATTCAATTCCATCTTGTTTTCATTTATTTTATTTTATTTTGATTTATTTTGTTTTATTATTTTTTTAATTTTATTTTTTTAATTTATTTTATGTTTATTTTTTATTTGACTTTAGTTTATTTAATTTAATTTTATTTCATTTTTTAATACAATTTAAGTATTCTATTTCATTTTATGTAATTTGATTTGAATTAATTAAATTAAATCAATTTTATGTTATTTTAATTGTGTTTTCTTATATTTTGCTTAATTTCAATTTATTAACTTTTAATTTTTTATTATTTTATGTAAATTAATTTATTTTTTTATATAAAAGTTAATTTAATTTTATAATACCTTATACTATTTTATTTAAAAAAATTAATTTAATTTTATCTTTATCAGATTTATTTCATATAATTAAATTTTGTTTTAATTTAAGTTTTATTTTTAAATTTCATTTAATTGTATTTTTCTTTATTTTATTCTAAATAACTTAAAATTCTTATTTTTTTATTTTTTTATTATATTTCACTATATTTTATTTAATATGAAATAAATTTATTTCCTATTAATTTATTTTGTTTTATATAATCTAATTAATTTATTTTCATTTTTTTAACTTTATTTCATAAACTTTTTTTAATATAATATTATATTTATATAATTGAATTAAATTTAACTTTTCCTTTGTTAAATTTATTTTATACTTTTTAATATATTTCTATCTTGCTTTGCTTTATTCAAGCTAATTTAAGTTTATTTTATTTATATTTTATTTTGTTTTCTTTAATTTTATTTTATTTTACTTTTTTCTTTTGTTAGATTTTATTTATTTTATTTTATGTTAATTACTTTTATTCTGAAATTTATGTTTAATTATTAATTAATACCTTTCGAACTATTTCAATCCAACAATAAAAATATGTATAAAAACGAAGACATTCAAAAAACCCTCAACAGCAACATTTGTAGAAACTACGTCGAAATAAAAGCAACAACAAACATGCTTCTAAGCATATTTAACCGAAGATTAGGGTTTGAGAAATAATAAAGGCACAAAGAAAGAATTCGAAGAAAAATTGTAAATTGCACATTAAAAACAATAAATAATAATCTAATTCGAAAAATAAATTCGCGAAATCATTAAAACCAAGTTATCAGTTGACCTTTAATTTAGCGAGCATACAAGAGAAAATCAATTTAAAAACTGTAAAGCCATAAATAAATGTATACATCCAAAAAATGAAAAGGAAAAAAAAACCTAATAAATGCAAAAAGTATATATATTTTTTTTTTGAAAAATATCCTGCAGCCGGTAGTTATAATATTTGATATTAGAAGAACAAATGTAACAATTAAAAATAAAATAAAGATGAAATTAAAACTAAGAACAAAATAAACAAAGAACAAAAAACACTGCAACAAAAACATATAAATTTAAAAAAGAGAGAAAAACATTGCATCATTAATAATGAAAATGAAAAAGAAAAATCATAATTACAATGAATTGCTAGCCGATTACACTGATTTTGTGACGTTTTTGAGCCACTGAAAGTAAGCCGATTGAAAAAAACACACGAAAAAAATAGTAGAAATCAGCATAAACAATAAAAAAGAAGAAAACGTAATGATAACGGCTAAGCATGAAGAAATCATCTTGTTATAATCGTAGTTTTGCTTATTTTTTAATAAAACACTAATATCAAAATCTTTGCGCGAACCCGAATTTTACAGGAAATGGGGGTGGAAAAGCTTTTCAAGGGTGAAGCAAGTCCCAAGAATTATGAGATACATTTGTAATTTATACTATTTTTCAAATGAAGAAAATGACAGATTCAAACGATGAAAGGAGTCGTACAAACTCCTGAGTTAAGTCTCCTTGGAAAATAGAAGAGCACAGAAAAAAGGACTGTCTAGTGTGAGAGAGAGGCTACAATCGTTTTTGATGTGTGAGTAAAATTAACAAAGTCGGAAGTACCGAAGTCGGACGGCCCGCTCTTGGCATTTCAATACAAGTAAATAATTTTTGGAGCATCAATTTATTATCATAATTCATTATTATATGAGCTACCCACTTAACCTGAACTAAAGTATCTAAACAATATTAGTCAGCATACTTTTGAGGAAATCTTCCTAGTAGATTTATCACAGTTACTTTCTGAATCTGGATTAAACTGTAAAAACAAAAAAGTCGATAAAACGCATACAGTACTTTTTAAAAGGAGCTAAAAGTTCGCTGGGAAACCTCTAAGACTCAATGACTCGAGGTACAATTAAGGCACACTCCAAGTACCTTGAAGTGGTACGATTTCTTACTTTGGGGTTACTTAGGGAAAGTCGAGCCAAGTGTACTCTTTGGATTATACTTGTTCCCTCTACACTACTTAAGGACTGCACTAAGAAAAGTACTCAATCTACAATCAACATTGCGGTGGAAAGTCTCGCAATCCTCTATGAGATAAGTGGCGTTAGATTAATTTTCTCTTAAAACCTTCGGGCGTAGCTCAATAGGCGTAGCTCAATAGGAATGATGAATAAAATCTACCACATATTTCCACACTTTAAATGGGAGAAAAAGAAGGTAGGGACCGCCAGAGAGACTTACAACATCTACATGCATGGGCGGATAAGAAAATGGCTGATAGAGTGAACGTCGGAATCATTTCCGCTGATCTAGAACTCAGATAACCAGTTAAACATCCCTTTTACTGAAAATAAGGAAGATCGCTGTGCGTTTATCACTGCGGAAAACAACTTGCGAAAGGTCAACACGCACATCGATAGCCAAGTGGCAGTGTCAGAAAATTTCGTTAGAAGCAGGGTGGCAGTGGTTAAGATGGGTATAAAGAAGAAACTGCATGTTTATTAAATTCATCACCGTAAGTACGTTGTAGGGAGATATACTGTTGATGGGACAACATAAGGTGGCAACGCAGTCCCTAGGGCTCTATACAATGAAATTTCCGAGAGCGCTGAGAGACGGGTCAAAGTGGTGAGATAGGATGCTTTAACCAGCAAGACCATTTCGCAATTGTAGTGAAGAAAAGCATATCCAATTCTTGCTTACACGGTCTCGAGAAAATAGTTGTGCGGTAAAAACGGCGCTATCTAGATAGAACTCATCTTAGATATCTTAGAGCTACACTGTTCGAGGCCGGAAGTAGTTTAAACACAATGCCATCTGAAACTGTGCGTAAATCGTTGACGTTTTAGGCGAAAGCTACTTTACTTCGAACCAAACTATACCTTCCTCTGGTAGTAGTAAGGAACCAATATTTCTATATAAGGCGTAACAGCTAGCCAGTGTAACCTAACCTAACCTGATCTAGCCTGCAAACTGTCCTATTGAACCTCTTTTTTTATTTAAAAAAAAACTCCCATTTATTTGTATTAGTTTTTTTTTTTTTTAATATTTTTTGTTAACGAATTATAAAGTTTTTCAAAGATTTATTATGAAATTAATTTCAAATAACTCTAAATGCTCATTTCAAACCCAAGTCCTTCTCGATAGTGTTCACGCAAAGCGCCATCATTTGATCCTTAACGCGTTGGAAGCTCTCGACTGCAATAGGAAATCACGATAAATTGGACGGCAGAATTTCATGCGGAAATTGGAATTGGCAAATGCAATAATCTCATCGATACGTTTCAGCAATCGCGCTCTGATTACCAAACGCATGACACGGAAACGTACTTCAGCATTCTTCGTACTCTTCAGGTTATAAGTGCTTTCGAGAAGTTCGATTTTCTCCTCGTTTAATTCAACAATGTCTTGGCATTCAATCAATCTGCCAAGGAAATCAATAAGTTGATGTGAGGAAATCGGCTTGCTAATATCGGTGTCACCACGCAAGTCAGCGGTAGACTTGGTGCTCCACAGCTTGGCCAACTGTTTAGAGATATCGGCGAGTGTTTCGTCGAAGCTACAATTTTTAAATAAAATTTCGTTCATTATTTTAGAAATAAAAAAGTAAAATATGGGAAATTTCCATTTGATTTTATGTATGTTTTTGTTCTTACTTTGGTATTATCGGGGGTAGACCTTCTTGGTAGAGCCACAAGTCCCAATCGATTTCGGTCAGCTTATCCTTTTTATCGGTTTTAATGAAATAGTCATATAAGGCACCTTTGAAATCGTCCGTAATAACCGATTTGTAAGCAAACTTTTGCAAATAACTGCGTAGGAATGGCTCGAATACTTCAGGTCCTCCAAGTAAATCCTCAATATAACGCAGGAAAGTTGAACCTTTGTTGTAGGGCACACAAGAGAATGCATCATCTGGGCCACAATAGGATAGATCAACTACTAACTTGGTAAGTTCTGGTCTGGTCGCAAATTGTGTATGTATCTGTGGGGTGAGAATCATGGCGATCGCTGAAGTTCATATCACAAATATTTTTTTACTTACACAATCTTCTAGTTCAGTTAGATTTCGCATCATATGAAAATCACGCTCTTTACTGCCGTGCAGGCGTCCCACAATTTTCGTCTCCACGAAGACAGTGAAACCTTCATTTAGCCAAAAATGTTCGAAATTTTTGTTTGTGACTAAATTACCAGTCCAGCTGTGAGCAATTTCATGCGCCACTACATCGACCAATGACTTATCTCCAGCCAACACCGTTGGTGTTAAAAATGTTAGACATGGGTTTTCCATGCCACCAAGTGGAAATGATGGTGGCATAATAACCAAATCATATCGTTTCCACACATATGGTCCACAAATGTCAGATGCGGCTTGCAGCATCTGTGAAGTTTGTGAGAACTCCTCAGCGCAGGCGTCCACAATCAGCGGTTCCGACCAAACCTTGGAAATGGAACCGATTGTACGGGAAACGAGATCACCCACAGCTATAGCTAATAAAGAAGATGGTATGGGCACTTCTTGCTTGAACGTGGTTACACCAGTTTCCTTTCTCTCAACAACAAGTGCACTCATGAGAGCAGTTAATTCTTTGGGATGCTCCACAGTTGCCTCATAGGTAAATTTAACGGCTGGCGTATCTTGACATGGTAATACGGAACGTGCACGAATCGGTTGGAATTGACTGAAGAGATATGGATGTTGTTTGCCAAGAGTTTGCTCTGGTGTGAGCCATTGCAGGCCACTAGCACGATTCGAGGTCTCATAATCGAGGTGAACAAGTAGGCTGTGGATATGGGAAAGGACAAATTAGAAAAGAAAGAAGAGCGCTAAAATACTAAAATAGTTAACATTTTACTTACTCTCCCTTGGCTGTACTTTCCGGCAGCTCCAATATCAACTTAGCACCAATATCCTCAACTGGATCACTCACGAAGTAGTTTATTGGTATGGCTGAACCACCACTGCAAAGAATCGAAGCACTTTTCACATTGATATCGCGCACATCTAGCAGCTGTGAATGAATATTAAAAGTGGGCATTACTCCAGTAAAGGGAAATATTCTAGTCACTTACGATTGCTGGCAAATTAGCCTCCAGCACAGTGAAGTGATGTGTTACGCTGCCCAACAATTTGGTGTTTGAAAAATCTACAGTCCACTTGAGCGCACTGTGTTTGGTAGCGATACGTTCAGGTTCCGCGTAGGAGCTGGGATCTACTTTACTTAAACGTACCATTTTAGGGAGTTAAAAGTTGCTACAGAAGACGTAACCGGATGCCAACGGAGGGAGTTTTAGCCAAAAATGCAGTAAATTTTAAATTAATATACAGTGAGAGAGCTGCTTTAATCTTCTCATAATAAACAATTTTAATCTTATCGCTATTACTCGCTATCGAGCTTGTGGTGAAATGCAATTTGAGACTTCAACAACACTCAAGTTCATAGGGTGCTTTTTATTACTGACTTAACAAATTTGAGTGTTAAATTTTGTGGTTTATTTCCTACTTTTCGGTCTCATTACACCACTCAAACCCATAGAAAAACGAATCATTTCCCACCGTACAGTCAACTATTACCGGATTCTGGTGTTCCCGCTCATAGTTCAAAACAATTTTGTCCAACTTGACCAACAAGTGCTACTCTAGTTTGAATAGGTAGTGTAATAATTGTGAGGTTCTCGTCCATTGAATCAGAACCTAGCTCTACAATTTGCTCATCATATGTATATGTTCTAGTTGTTGCTCATATTGTTGAGCAGTTGAAATATATTTTGCGATATCAGCCTCTCTCAAACTAGGAACTTAGTGTGCGATGAGGAATAGTGTCCTTCTAGAGGTGGCCCTGTTAGACCAACTGAATACTAGGGATCTTGACCAAGAGGGAGTCGAAAATACCATTCTTCCCTAATCCTGGATGTCATGCATATTCCTTCCTATGGAATAGTTTGCAGTTAGGGGCGTCCGAATCGAATCAGGCATTCGCCGTCGATCGTTTCTATTCGTCTTCCCATATTTCACTTCGGCTTCCGTGACCCAAAAATATCAGTTCTAGACTCCTACAGCGAAAGCAACTCAGGACGGCAGAAAGCCAATGCCCTGGAGGAAAAGGAAAGAACGCCAGCTGGGTACCGGGAGTCCCATTTTAATAGGCCCGCACAGGGCACAAAACTGCAAGGCAAAGAGGCCAACTAAAACCTTGTATGAGAAAAGCGTCCAGCTCCAATCCACTGAATCCGCACAAACGTCTGGACCCAGATCAACGCCCTTGCTGCTCCAAATCCATTAGGCCCTACGGCAGTGCACATAAGGACAGGAAATTTTCCCCCAAGAGGAACAAAAAACAAGCAGCAACCGGCCGACAGCAGATGGTTTCTTCTCACGATCCGTAGTGTAGTGTTTTGGCATGCTAAGAGTCTCCTCTTCTGCATCCCGCTCTGCCTGCAACTAAAATAGTGCACAGTTTAGTTAATTGCTGGCTGGTCATTTTAATTTTTGTATATTGCCGACAAAGATTCTTTGTCCTTATCGCAATTTTTCTTAGCCAGCAACTAGAGGAGTTGCAGTACAGAATTTTGAATGCTATTCGTGGCCATTTTGGGCTTTGTTGTCAAGAGTGGAAATGTTGATTGCATCGACTTTGGCATTAATTTCTAGCCGATACTCTTTTGTTTGGTACTAAAAGGTGTCGCCGATGATGCAGTTGGGAGACGGTAAGACCAATAGCTTGAAAACAGAAAAGGTTGAACAGATGTTTTTGTTGTTGTTGGGTCTCGACAGGTTCGCATCAGAAAGAAACGGTGGTTAGATGAGTTAGTTTAAGGGGGCATGCAAAGAGGGGATTGGTGTCGTGCGGGAACTCATTGCATGCAGAACATTTGTACGTTGGGTATGCCGGGGTCAAGTCCGGATAAGTAGAAGTTTAGTCTACGGCAATATCTATATTTAAGTTGCGCCAGTATTACGCGTACTTTCGAGGCAGCCCGAGCTCTTCGTCTGTAATAGGTGGTGGTTTGACTCCGAGAGCGCCATTCTCTGGAGGAGAGTTCAGGGAGGTGCTGAGGGACTTTTGGCGAATGGCGTTCAATGGCTGTCGGTAAGCCGTCATGTCCAGGACATAACATAATTTCCTACATTTAACCTCCCGTTTCAATTTGTAGATATGTACTATTGCATAAACTTCATTTCGTCTACTAACTTTCGATTAAAAATTTATTTAATAAAAATTTTATTGCATTAAAATTATACATACATACATAAGAATGGAGAAAACATATAAAAATATTTTTGAATATAACAGTTATAAATGCTCATTTCAAACCCAAGTCCTTCTCGATGGTGTGCGCACAAACTGCCATCATTTGATCCTTAACGCGTTGGAAGCTCTCGACTGCAATAGGCCTCTGGCCATTGGCCCAAATCACGATAAATTGGACGGCAGAATTTCATGCGGAAATTGGAATTGGCAAATGCAATAATCTCATCGATACGTTTCAGCAATCGTGCTCTGATTACCAAACGCATGACACGGAAACGTACTTCAGCATTCTTCGTACTCTTCAGGTTATAAGTGCTTTCGAGAAGTTCGATTTTCTCCTCGTTTAATTCAACAATGTCTTGGCATTCAATCAATCTGCCAAGGAAATCAATAAGTTGATGTGAGGAAATCGGCTTGCTAATATCGGTGTCACCACGCAAGTCAGCGGTAGACTTGGTGCTCCACAGCTTGGCCAACTGTTTAGAGATATCGGCGAGTGTTTCGTCGAAGCTACAATTTTTAAATAAAATTTCGTTCATTATTTTAGAAATAAAAAAGTAAAATATGGGAAATTTCCATTTGATTTTATGTATGTTTTTGTTCTTACTTTGGTATTATCGGGGGTAGACCTTCTTGGTAGAGCCACAAGTCCCAATCGATTTCGGTCAGCTTATCCTTTTTATCGGTTTTAATGAAATAGTCATATAAGGCACCTTTGAAATCGTCCGTAATAACCGATTTGTAAGCAAACTTTTGCAAATAACTGCGTAGGAATGGCTCGAATACTTCAGGTCCTCCAAGTAAATCCTCAATATAACGCAGGAAAGTTGAACCTTTAATGTAGGGCACACTGGAGAATGCATCATCTGGACCACAATTCGATAAATCAACTACTAACTTTGTAAGTTCCGGACTATTGGCTAATTGTGTACGTATCTAGAATGGAGAAACATATATAAGTTGAGTGAATTGCACAAATAAATTTAATTAAATTAAGAATTTTCTACTTACACACTCCTGTAAATCGGTCAAGTTGCGCAACATATGGAAATCACGCTCTTTATTGCCTTGCATGCGTCCCACAATTTTCGTCTCCACGAAGACAGTGAAACCTTCATTTAACCAGAAATGTTCGAAATTTTTGTTTGTGACTAAATTACCAGTCCAACTGTGAGCAATTTCGTGAGCCACCACATCGGCTAAAGACTTATCGCCAGCCAGTAGTGTGGGTGTTACAAATGTGAGGCACGGATTTTCCATGCCACCAAAGGGAAATGATGGTGGCATAACAAGCAAATCATATTGTTTCCACACATATGGTCCACAAATGTCAGATGCGGTTCGCAGCATTTGTGAAGTTTGTGAGAACTCCTCAGCGCACGCATCCACAATGCCCGCCTCTGCCCAGACATTCGAATTAGGACCCAAAGGTCGTGAAACAAGATCACCAATGGCAATGGCCAGTAAATACGCTGGTATTGGCACTTCTTGCTTGAAAGTGGTTGCACCCGTTTCTTTTTTCTCAACTATTGCACTCATGAGAGCAGTTAATTCTTTGGGATGCTCCACAGTCGCCTCATAGGTGAATTTAACGGCTGGCGTATCTTGACATGGTAATACGGAACGAGCGTGAATCGCTTGACATTGACTGAAGAGATATGGATGTTGTTTGCCAAGAGTTTGCTCTGGTGTGAGCCACTGCAGACCACTTGCACGATTCGATGTTTCATAATCGATGCGTACGAGAAGGCTGAAGAGAAACGAAAGAGTATTTTAGTGGGGTGAAGAAAAACTTTGCTGATATTTAAAATTAATGTTATACAGTTTTTTGACTCTTTGAGAAGTTATCATGTTTCACATGATAATTAAATCGATAAGGCGGTTTGATTTATGATTTTCTACGTACTGTTATTGATTTGTAAGCCTACTCCGTTATAAAGATAAATTTAACTTGGTAACAGATGTGTGTGTGCACTACCCACTATTTCGAAACCATAAATGCAAAATTATCAACTTACTCTCCCTTAGCAGTGCCTTCCGGCAGCTCCAATGTCAACTTAGCACCAATATCCTCAACTGGATCACTGACGAAGTAGTTGATTGGTATGGCTGAACCACCACTGCAAAGAATCGAAGCACTTTTCACATTGATATCGCGCACATCTAGCAGCTGTGAATGAATATTAAAAGTGGGCATTACTCCAGTAAAGGGACATATTCTAGTCACTTACGATTGCTGGCAAATTAGCCTCCAGCACATTGAAGTGATGTATTACGCTACCCAACAATTTTGTGTTTGAAAAATCTACTGTCCACTTGAGCGCACTGTGTTTGGTAGCGATACGTTCAGGTTCTGAGAAAGAACTGGGATCTACTTTACTTAAACGACCCATATTACGGTGTTGTAGTGTGAAATTGAATGAAGAGCTAATAGGTACTTGCAAGAGACGGCGATGAGTACTAACTGAACGGGTGGTAGCTGAAAATATAGTAAATACAGATTCCACTTTTAAATGAGCTACTTAAAGTTTAATCTGGTCATAATAAATATTCTTAATCTTATCGTCTTGCGGTTATCGAGCTGGTGGAGACAATTACTATATACCCGTTTAACCGCACTGATGGGTTTGGATATGCGTATGAGGTATATTTTGATATTTTTATTTTGATATTTTGTAAAATTAATATGTAAGTTGTACCTTAAAAATTTCAGAATCACGTTAAAAACAATTTCTTAAACCAATTGGGCAAAAATACACTTTCCAAAAGATCACGTAGGATGTTTAGTATGTCATCACGAATGACGGTACAAAGAGTAATGCAGTAATAAAAACAAAACAAATGTTTGTAGATGAAGAAATATGCGATAGATTGGACAACACAATAGAGTGACCAGACCAAAATTAAAATGCCGAAATGAAACTGTATAGATGAAAATCAATTAACAAAACTTTGATTTACACCTACCTACCTATTTGAACACAATTTCAGTTGCCTTGAAAACGGAGTAGTCAACATTTGTACCTATACTTAGCCCTATAAAAGCTTCCCTTTGTATTACATGACTGAAACCGAAAGTTTTCAAAACGAGCGGGTCAGTATACTAACAGACACAATTCCTCCGACCATAATTAAATTTAAATGAGAAATCATTTGTAGCGCAGATCAAACATGCTAACATTTATAAATAGATGTTCTGAATTGCGAAGCGTTAATTTAATGGCCGGATGAAGATTATCTCTTTTGCGAAAAATTATTAAAGTACATTAGTGTTTTATAAAGTTTATCAATTCTTTTTAATTATTATACTTAAAATGTAAACATTACAAATCATAAACAAATTTTTTTAGTACATATATATGCAGCTTTTATATTGTTATTCTGCTAGCATCAAAATTTACATTCAGCTCATTAACGTAGGATATAATCCTTCGGATAGTCCATAATAGATGGGAAATTTTCCAGTGTTTCTTTGTCGATGTGATCCAATCGCGTTGGCACTTCACGTGGTGTTCTTATTTGATTTGTCACATTTGCCAATATCTCTTCCGGTATTTGATCATCAGCAAATAAATGTAATCGTTGCATAGTATGTCTACGTTGTAAATTACCACGCATAGAATTGTATACAGCCTTCTTCATAACCATTGTGGGATCTTTTTCATGCAATTGCCACGCCAACGTCCATGTAGCACCACCCGGATAACCAGTATGGTGGAAATAAACTCGTTTGATCCATTCATCGCCGGGGAGAGCAATTTCTTTTGTATTGATGCAAACCACATGATCGCCACAGTCATCTGGAAGTTGAGAAAGAGTGCTAGCTTGAGTACCAATATGAAAATTGTGTACGAAACACGAAAATCACTAAAGCCTAAAAGTAAAGACTATTAATTGGTTTGCACTAAAAGTTGGATATGATATTGGGTATTTACCAGCCTAGAATGTTTGTATGAAATCTAGCACTTTGAAATTATGTATTTTAATTCATAAGTAATTTACGAAAAAGAAGTACACGTAAAAAGATCGGTGCCATAGTCAGAAGCCCATTGCAGTGCAGACTAAGATTAATAAGCAAGTAGCCGGCATATTTTTTTGTCTGAAGAGGTAGGACGTATCATTTGCCTTTAACTTTGGTAAATACTTACTCATTGGATGGTAGATCGGCTTGTGCAAGCCCATTAAATGCGTTTTTATTAACTTTGCTGAATCAAAAGGGTTTTGCCAAGTGCAATCGTAGATGTGCCATGTTCTTGCAAATGTAGCCCATTGCTGTAAAACAGAGTATTTTCGTAGTTACACTTTATTTTATCATCTGAATAGCGATTTACCTGAACACGCTTAACTATTGACATCTTGTTGGACTTTAAATTAATTGTTTTTATGTGATTTGTACTGTTAAATAACAATATTCCAACGAATTGCACCACTCAGCTGATAAATGGTGTGCTCACACCGCGCCGGTGTTGCCGGGTGTAACTTTAATTTTAGTAAACAAACAAGTTGCTGAGTTATTAATGAAATCTAAATTAAAATACCTTTAAAATTATTTTACAACGCATTAAAGCTTCCGAAAAATATTTAGCCATTAATTTCCCAAACATTTGAGATGCATGAATATGCAAAACGAAACGTAAACAAATGTCTGTTATTCTATTGCTTAAAGTTGGCAGCACTAGGAAATATAACTGCTGGAGATAGAATAAATTGAAACAATGCGGAAATGGAACGTTCACTGAAAGAATTGATAATCAGACTTATTAAGCTAATAAATGAAAATTTTACAACTCAAAGAACGTATATCAAAGAACGTTTATCAAATTACGTTCTCTGCGTATTTTAACGTGTATTAGTATTTCAAGTTCTCTGCTTTTTTATAGCAAATTTTAACGAAAAAAGTACGGAAGTTTTAATTTAGAAAAGATATAAAGAGAAACTGCTCACAATATTACTGCTCCTTAAGGTATGCTACAAATTAAATTGGATAGCATTTATTTCTCATATATGATGCCTACGTCTCTTCATTTCTTAGATCATTTTATGTTGCGCGATTCAGGAATGATTTTTGGTTGTTTGCTTTTAAAATATGTAGGCCAGCTGTATTCATTAGTATCTAGTATGAAGTTGACCCCCCCCTTAATATGAAATTAAAAACATGCATCCGTTTCAATATCGTAATTATATTTTTCTTTTATTATTTTTTCATTAATTTTTATAATTTTCAAACATTTTCTATGAATACTAAAATTAAGTACAATATTTTTTATTTTTTATTAATTTATTTTATTAGCATAAGTTTGTTGTTTTTAATACAGAAATTAAAAATTGTGTTGAATCCTTTGGCGCTGCTTTTACATTTTGTTCAACGTTGGCAGCCTTTAGAAGCAACTAGCTGTTAAGCAATATTTTCGATTTCTCTATAACTCTCTGCCAATGTTTATTTATTTATTACTTTACTTTTCACAATGCCATAATACAACTGTTTCACATACTGAAATAACTAAAAACTAACAATTTATGTTATATAAGTATGTACATAATTTTATTAATTAGTATTTGTTATTAGAAACAATTTTTGTTAAGTATCTAATTTTAGATTTTTAATTTATTACTATATACAATATGTTTTTTTACTATGTAAACGTTTACATACAGAGTTTGCTATATACATTTTTGCTGTTTATGCGTTAATATTTTTTTAATTTTTTTTCTTATCTTCTCTATTTATAGTTAACATTGGGTTGGCGCACTTAGGTCGCCGTTTCTGTTTTTTTTTTTTTTTTGCCAAAAAGCAGAGGATACATCTTGACATGTGATTTAACATATTTTCAGTAAAGTTATGGTCACTCGTATTTCTGTGTGATAAAGAAAAATTGTAAAATTTCAACTCTTTTTTTATTTTCTTTTCTTATTTCTGAAACAAAATAACTTATTTTCAAAATCTCTCAACAAGGTCTCATATGAATTTTTGAACTATTATTTTATATGTATCGAATTTTAAATATTTATGTAGATTTTTTCAAACCTTTCAAAAAATTAGAACGTTTAAAATAGAGTAAGAAAAAAATCAAATAAAATTGTATAAAATAATATGAGCTGAAATTAAATAAACTGAAATAAAACAAAATAAAAAAATAATAAATTAAAATATAATCTAATAATATAATAAAATAAAATAAACTAAAAAAATAAAACAAAATAAAATAAAGTAATATAAAATTAACTAGATAAAATAAAATAAATGCAAAAAATGAGAGTAAAATAAAATAAAATAAAATGAAAAAAAATTAAATAAAGTAAAACGAAGTAAAATAAAATAAATACCAAAAAAAAATAATTAAAAAAGGCAAAGTAAAAAGAAATAAAATTAAGCAAAATAAAATAAACTCAACTAAGGTAAAGTATAAGAAATACAAAAAATAAAATTAAAAAAATAAAATAAAGTCAAATAAAATAAACTAAAATAAAAAAAGCAAAGGCAAAATAAAAAAAATACAAAAAAAAATAAATAAAAAAAGCAAAGTAAAAAGAAATAAAATTAAGCAAAATAAAATAAACTAAAAGAAAATAAAATAAATACCAAAAAAAAAAAATAAAATAAAAAAACCAAGTTAAAAGAAATAAAATTAAGCAAAATAACATATAATAAAATTAACTAAGATAAAATATAATAGCTACAAAAAAAAAATAAAAAAAAAAAATAAAATAAAGTCAAATAAAATAAACTGAAATAAAAAAAGCTAAGGCAAAATAAAATAAATACAAAAAAAATTAAATAAGGAAAAAAATTAAATTAAAGAATATAAAAAAGTAAATGAAACAGAAAAATGCATAACATAAAATAACGGATGGAATGAAATGACATCAACTGAATTTATTGAGTTTATGAGTTTAAATATTTTTTCCCTCGAGTTTATTAAACTCTTGCAAATTAATTTGAATATATAATTAAATGTTTTTTTTTTATTCAAAAGTGTTGCATATCCAACTACTTTTTGGCCATTTTACTGTTCTGTGAAAATTTGGTTTTCAAGTATTAAATTTTATTTTATCTGTTAATATTTTCTTGAGATTTTATTTAAGTACTGTTTAACTAGAGATTTAATTGCTATTACTATTTTATTAAATTACGTTCTCTTCTCTTAAATACAAATATTAAATTTATGCATGAAATATGTATGTATATATATGCAGATTTTCAGGATATATTTTATATACTATATTTTTTACAAACTTGATATTCCCTATATGTATTTATTAGTTTTCCTTTTGGTTTTAGTTGCATTTTTTATTTAAATAATTTTAATTATTTCAAGATTTTTTTTTGTAATATTTTTTTTAATGAATGAACTTTTAAAGTGAGTGAGCATTTATGTTTTTTATTTGCCATTTGACATTTTCAAATACCTTAGCAAATTTTCATTCTTTTGAAAAATATAATGTGATTTTCGCAAAATTTATAAACTGTTTTGAAAGTATTTGAAAAAAAATACACATTTAATGAGTGAAATTCGAAACAGCGTTGACTTTTGAAAAATACTTTGCCAAAATTTTAATTAATATAAGTTTTACTATCACGACAAGCGCATATTCCAAGTCCAAATATTAAGTTTTCGCCAAAAAATCTAAGCAAAGTATTTTTCAAATTTTCAAAACTGTTTCTTGGGTTACTAATGATCGCCTCTGCATACAGTTGCGGCATGATTTTACACTCCCTCCTCCTTCGCTCCTTCCGAAAATTGCACATTCGCCCTTTTGCGCATCACTGAGTTCCAGCTCGACGTCAGAACTCCTCGTACATCCTTCACAGCACTGCATGCGATGGCGACGCCGTCACCTTTTGCAACATTTGCATCAATTGCTCTGTAGCCGATTGTGCTTGACTGCAGCTTGCAGTGCCGCCAACGCCAATGCCAACGCCAACACCTACACCGACGCCACCACCGCCCATACCGATGCCTGCCAGTCCGATACCCGAGTTAAGAGCACACGCTGCTGCACCACTGACACTCATACCACCCATAGCTCCAGCTGCAGCACTACACATTCCAACGATCCCAGTGTTAGAGGCTGATGGTGGTGAAGCAATTGATGTAGCTGCCGATGCTGAGGAGGAGGATAATGATGAAGATGACGACATTGATAAGGACATGGACGATGTTGGTGTCAAAGCTAGTTTGGACTCTGTATGGTTAGTGTTTTTTTTTTGTGGATCGACAAGAACGAGAAGAAGAAGAAGAGCAAATTAGATTCGTTTGCACATGCTTTTCTACGGACTGCCTTGCATACTGTCATCACTCTCCAGATAGGTCACATATGAGTCAGTACTGTCCGGATGATGATGTGACGTTATGCCCGAATCCATGCTGCCAATAGGTGGTCCATTCATTTGTTGACCGGGCGGTGGCGGATGTGGTCCATGTTGTTGATGTGGCGGCAATGGCGGCATACCGTTCAGATCGTAACCATGCATCTGTACAATAACAACAGCAAAAATAACTCGGATTAGTAATAGAAATAATTCGATTTGCAACGTCGTCAGACTCACCTGATTCACTAGCTGTTGAAACGCGGGCGTATGCGTATTTATCGCACCATTACTGTCCAAATCCGCATGCAAGGCGAAATCGGATAAGGCTTTCCATGGCGGCTGATATGTTTGCACATCGATGCCCTGCAAATTCAATGGCGAATCGTGTCGCACCGGCGAACTCGCTATCATCGGTATGCCCTGCATGGCGCCATAACCGAGTTTTCGTCCCTCCTATAAGCGCAAGGCAAAGAGAAACTTTCATTAATTAAACTCAAATTAATGTTCTTTCAGGAGTATTTAATTATGGCTGGCATTTTTGGTTTGTGCGTGCTGGGAACATACCTTCTCCTGTTGCATTTGCAGTTTCATTTGTATCGTCTTCTTCTTGTCTTTGCAGCGTTTATTCTGAAACCAGACTCGTATGACGCGTGGTGATAGACCAGTCATCTCTACCAGTTGCTCTTTCATGAGCGCATCAGGTCGCGGATTAGCGTTGTAGCAGGTTCTGTAATGGGGAAATGTGGAGATTTACATATATGCATTCGAATATGTGGCGAATATTCAGTGAATATTTGGAGCGTTAAGAAGATGAATCCTCGCAAGGACCTATAAAGAGATTCATTGACGTATTCTTACTTGGACTTGCTCTAAGGTCTCTAACTTTTCTTCATATCTACACAACATTTCTTAAAAGAAGTCCAGTTCCTATATATTCGTCCTATCCTCTGTTTCTAAGCCCCTGAAAACACCTCTGCCTGAGCAGTTAAATATAAAAATATGAGAATAAAAAGTTCCCCATAAGATAATTATTTTACTAGAGCTCCAGTAAATCAGTTAAGAGTTACAGTGTAAACGAAAAACGGAAGTAATGGCACTTTGTTGTGCACCTTTCGATTCTCAGTGAAGAGTTGAAGTTGCTTCGAGGGACCTCAAATATTCCGGTATCTTTTAAATCGTTAAAGACTGGGCCTCTACTTAATATAATTGGCACTTTGTCACCGCTACAACGATTTTCGGCCGAGCTCCACCTCCAATTTTTGGTGGGCATCTAACAAATGGGGAGTCCTACACTCCGAACGGCTGATGTTTTTTTTTTTTTGAGGAGCTTTTATTTTATGTCAGAACTACATTTGGAGGGGTGGACATTTCCTGCCAAGCGACGACTGCAGATAAAGCAAATAATTTTCCACAATTTTTAATGTTAGTCAGACCATGACTCGAAATCTGACCATCCGAATGTTGGTACACAATGCTAACCTACTTACAGGTGCTAATTCGTAACAACTTAAGCACTTTTCCTATTTACGTATAAAGCGTTTCCGTACTATATAAACCTGCCCATCGTCAATCAAACTAACTTTATCTCCGAGCTCTACAGTGTCGGAGTTTCTACTTTCCACCCAATCACTATATTCCGGAATTTAAACAAAGTATTTACCTTAACGTGTGTAGTTGCTTCTCATTCAGGACCGTTCGCACCCGTGTCGGTTTACCGTCCGATGGACCCGAAGGTCTTTTTTCCCTAATACTTTTATGTGAGCCCGATTCGCTACCAGAATCTGAAAGTGAAAATTAAAAATTAAAAAAATGCAATTAAAATATCATTAATTAAATAATAATTTTAAGGTTAGAAGAAATCTTTTAAAAATAAACGAGCTTATAAGATTATTCCTTTTATTTTTACATTTATGATTTTAGCCTCTTTTCGAAGGAGTTTCAGAGAAGTTTTTCTCATCTACGAAACCAAGATGAAATTTGAGCAGACTGAATTGGTATCTTCTAGAACTAGAAGTAAAGTCTCCTTCTACGTTTCCACATTTTCGTTTCATAATTTTTTTTCACGAGTAAATTGAGGGCATAAGTTATCTTTCCAATTTTTGGTTGGAGTGGGCTATGGGTTCTGAATCATTGATATATATAGATTGATTTCGTTCCTTCACGAAAAGGTATTATTCATTTATTTTTCACTTAAGTGTAAGATAACCATTATTCGATGAACGAGCATTATGAAAAAGTGAAGCTTTAAAAACTTAAAAAGTTCAACTTTTTCAAACTTCTGCAGCTGTGATTCTTCAGATTGCATTTCTGTACTTCAAAAAATGTTATAGTAAATCAAAAGTGCTTTCTATTCCAAGAATTCATTTCCACTTCCCTTTCCATTTTACATTTGACCACTGCTTCGTTAAAAAACAAAAAAAAAAAAAACATTAATAAAAACTTGAACATTGTTCAAAAACAAAAGCAAATGCTGACTTCTTGATTTCTGCACTTGATTTTATCTGTATGTGTTGTGCCAAACTATAATTAGTTTCATCTCCAACGAATGTGTTGAAAAATTGCATACGAAATACACTTTTTACACAATTCACTTTCCCGCGTGTTTCGGCAAGTTCAAAGCGAAATATTCCTGCTCGCTGTGCCGCGCAGGTTTGGAGATCAATTGTTGGAAATCGTTGGAATTTTTGAAATGTTGCTAATTTTAAAACGAACTTTAAAGGGATGCGCGATTAATTTTTCCAATTTTGCAAAACTTTTGCCTCACAGAATATTGAGGAATACAAATTTGTTATTGGGAAAAAACAATTGAAAATATATAAAAAAAATTGACTGTTCTCTGCATTTTTCTTTGTATGAGGAGAAATAAATGTAGTGTATCGAAAAAGAGAAGAAGATGACTTGAGCTATGAACTTATAAAGAGTACGAAGATTACATTTAAGGAGTGTATATATGTAATAATTCCAAAAAAAAAAAAAATTATAACGAATTAAATAAAATAAATAAATTTAAAGAAAAATAAATGAGATAAATAGAATAATATAATATAAAATAAAATAAAATAACTTAATATAAACTATAGAAAAGTAGAATAAAATAAAATGAAAAAACAGAAAATAAAAATAAGATAAAGAAAAATAAAATGAAAGAAAAAAATAAAAAATTAAATAAAAAAAATAAAATTAAAATAAAATAAAATAAAATAAAATGAAAAATTATAAAATAAAAAAATAAAATATAATAAAATCAAATAACATAAAATAATATAAAAAATAAAATAAATTATAATAAAATAGACAAAAATTAAACAAAATAAGATAAATTAATTAAAGTAAAATATATACATTATTTATTTGTGGTTTTGCGTCTTGATGTTTTTTCCTACAAATGGAGGGACAGTTTATACTAAGCCGCCTCCGAACGGCTGATGGTTTTTTTATGAGGAGCTTTATTTAATGTCAGAAATATGCTCGGAGGGGTTGACATTCCCTGCCGAGGGGCGACCGCAATAAGAAAATTTAACTCAATTTTATACTTAAATTGATTTTCTATAACTTTTGGATGTTGGTCGCACGGGGATTTGAACCCGAGCCTTCCGAATGGCAGTGCGCAATTCTAACTACTCGGCTTCCCCGGCCGCCATAAAATAAAATAAAATAAAATATAGCAAAATAAAGCAAAACTAAAAAAAATTAAATAAGATAAACTTATCATAACAAAATAAATTAAAATAAAATAAATAAAATAAAATATAATACAATAAAATGAACTAAATTAAAATAAAATAAGATAAAATAAAAATAAAATAAAATATCATTAAATAAAATGAAATAAGCAAAATATAATTAAATAAAATAACATAAAATAACATTAAACAAATTAATGCAAAATAATATGAAGAGAATTAATATAAAAAAACAAGTAAATTATAATGAAAGAAGTAAAATTATATAAAAAATTAAGTGGAATAATATAATATAATATATATATATGTACATGCACAGTAAGGTAAGGCCTTCATAAAGTGCTGCGAAAACTTTTTATCTCCGCTACAATCTCGGTATTTACGATAATTAATGTGTTTGAGTCGCGGGAAGTTAGTAAATTTAATACACGCATACAAGCAAAGCGTAAAGAGTGTCAATTGCAAAAAACATGTGGTAACAATGTTATTCACATGCATAACACATCAATGTTGACTCGAATACCAATTATATCTAATAAACCCCAGGAATTACTAGGGAATAAGCCTAGAAACGCTAGATGGAAAAGCATGTGAAATGCAAATATAAATGCAGGTATATATGTAAAAATATATGTGTGTGGGTGCATACATTTGAACACAGCATATGTACAAGTTTATATACATTAAAACGAAGGACAAATTGTAATTTGCAGAATTGCAATGGAAGCAATAATATGAAAATGAGATAAAGAAATATAGGGTGTCTCAATTTGTTGGTTTCTGCTTGGGCTTAAAAATTAAGGGTTGCATAACTGTAAAGATATGAGAGCGAACGCTTTAAAAATTAATTACTGCAGAGCACTTTTTTAATTTATTATTTTAGAGGGAAAAATCAGTATGAAAGTTTTCGGTCCGCCGCTAAGGACTACACTTGCAAATCCTCTTTGAGCCGAAATGCAGCTCGGAAAGTCAGAGATGTTTTTTCGAGTAAGAATAGAATCTTCCCTCAAGTTGAGATCTTGTATTGCCGGAATAATCTAAAAAAGGAGCTGAGGCTAATACAGATTTCAGCATCCAATGCCATCAAATGGAAGCCCCTTTTTATACCCAACATTAATATTCATGTGTGCTTTCATACATATGTATGTACATACATAAATTTCACCAGCTGTTCCTTGAGGGCCTAAAATTTTCATATTTGCAAAAACAAAAAAAAAACAACTTTAAACACAACAACAAGTTCAATCGAACGCACTCAAAGTGCCGCCGCCACAGCATCAACCGAAGAAATACAAATAAAAAGCAACGAAGCGCTCAAGCGCATTCCAGTCAGTCGTCACCCAGTCAACCAGCTTACAAGCCAGACTTTATATTTACATACAAACAGTGGACGGTGAAGACCAAAAGACATTGATTTAAGAAATGTCTAGGCTCTATCTGCTATGGTTACAAGAGTGAGCGAGTGGAAGACTGACTGGCTAACTGGTTGGCTGTATGGTTACGAGGTGTGACATTTAAGTAATGAGACTGATTATACTGCCGTGATTATGGCAACACTGCGACCTTGAAATTTCCTTTCCCTTCTCTCGGCATTCTTCTCCTCCTCATTGATATGTTTGCCATCGCCCTAGCTTATTAAGTTCCCCTGTTGTGTTGTGTTAAGTTAACGTGTGCTCGTGGTGCTCGCCACAAAAATGAAAAAACGAAATCAAGAGCAACGCGCCGCGATAAAATTTTGAGCCAAATTGGGCGAAACAGCTTCGGAAACGTACGCTAAAAATGTAAAAATGCATGGTGATAGTGCCCTTAGTTATGCCCAGGTGTTTCGATGGCATATAGAGCTTAAGTATGGGGGTGTGAAAGCGTGGAAGACAAGGCGCGATGCGGGAGACCAGTCGTGGTGCGGACTGACACGAATGATAGCCGTGGAATCGTCCACAAAGAATTTCTTCCATCGAGGCAATCCGTAAATCAAGTCTACTATCGCCAAGTACTGGAAAGATTGCGAAAACGAGTCAGCAAGGTGTGCCCAGACATCGCTCCTAACTGGATCTTTCACAACGACAACGCGCCGCTTTAGCGTGCTCCAGTATTTGGCCTCTAAAGGAATCGCCGTGTTGCAACAATCGTCTTTTTCGCCCGATATGTCACCCAAACAAAGGAATCCATTTTGAGTCGATTTAGTACATCCAGGCGGCCGTGACGAGGGTATTTGCGGACATCACACTCGAACCGTTCCAGAAATGTTACGAAGTAAGAAAAACGCCCTGGAATCGTTTAATAGCTGCCCAAGGGGACTACTTTGAAGAAGAATAATTTAGAAATATACGATTTTTATGGTAACAGTCTCATTACTTAATTGTCACACCTCGTACATGCTTGCCTGCTTAGCTGGTTTGCTAGTTGGCTGACTACAAGCGACGAGCCATTTCGTCTTTGTATGCTTTGCAGATGATTTTTTTTTATTATTTTCGTTGACAACTTCTCGAGAAATGCAGACATTAATACGCACACATGCACCCAAATAAAGATCTTTTGGTCTCTTAACCAAAGCAATGTCACCAACACTTAGCCAGCTCCGTTTGTAGACCGCCCCCAACACCAAACTACGTACATATACATATACATACATGTGTACGTACATACGAGTACACCGCTTGGTCGCGATTGTGATCGTGTTGTTTGGTGTTTATCATAGCCGATCACTGTTTTGATTTTGTCGTTCTTCATGCTATTGATTTTTATTTGATTTCCAATCGCTGGCAATTGTTTGATGAACTATCGAAATTGTTGTACTACTTGTCATTGTGATGTAGTATAGTTGTTTGTTTATTTTTGGCGGCACTTTCATGTTAGATGTAGGTATATCTCAGGGGTACATTGCTGCCATGCGCGGGGAGTTTTGCGGTGAGCGGAAAGAGAGAACCAAATATTTTTTTTTGGCAAACTCAAGAGAAGCTCTGAAGTGACTTGTCTTTTGATTTATAAGCGTCGATTTAGAACAAGTAAACACAGGGCTTAGAACAGGCGTTGAGGGATGTAAAGTCGCTTTGCAGTCGTCTATACTCTTTCTGAAGCTAAGCTGGCTTTGTCATAATTTTATGGTGTAAGATTACTAAGACTACTTCTAATAAAGAATCTACGCTCCACATGATCTATACTCAATACTTTATGAAAGGGTGAATTTATGCTGCTCCCAAAATCTTCTAATAAACTAGACCAAAACTCAGATGATGAAGTAAAAACTTTAATCAGACTCAGTAATCAGCTACATTTGAATCAAAATTATGAGAAATTATCATAAATGTGACGAGTGTGTTCTTTTCTCTGAACTTTTCGTAAGTCATCTATGGGCAAGGAACACTTTGAATGTTCCGACCCCTATTTTCAAACACAAACTTTTTCGTCGCTGATTCCGCAATATCTGTAATGAGACCGGCTCGGAATATTATAAGTAGACTTGTGAGAACTTGTGGCAAGAAAGAAGGTATATATGTACGTCTATGGGTCTGATTATAGGGTACCTTATACGGGGTTGCCGCGTAATGAGATTGGCTGAGAACGTAAGAACCTAAGCCTCAAGCTTCAGCATACTTTCTATCTGAAAATCACGCAATTGAGAAAAGTAGGCTAAAGTTTCTAGGACGAGCAACTTTAAGAGACGTGCCGAAGATGAACAGACCTTAAGCATAGTAAAATCGTCTGCTTGTATTAAAAGTCGGCCATGTTATATTTGTAATTTCCTGTTAAGTTTCTGATAAGATTTCGATTTTTGGTTGTTTAGCTTAATTAAAATGTGCTGGTAGATATAGTTGAATCCTCTTCGGAACAAATTGGTTATTTTTCTTTGATCGCTGCAGAAGTGCCAAGGCATGATATGCAAATCTTCAACAATGAAAACCTGACTGCACAGAGCTTAGAAAAAAGCGGCGTATTTTTCGAGGATGATTGAAGATATCAATTTTCGATCGGGTGCTGAAGACCGACACATTGTTGAGGCATCTGAGTCAACGTAGTGCTGTTCAAGAAGAAAGTTCAACTATGAGAAAGTGATGAAGACATTCTTCAATTTTGTCAGACATCTTTGTTTCGAAACGAATAGGGAAAGGTTTTTATCTCTTCTGAACCATTTGCGTATAGATTTCTTGCCTAATTTTTTCGGTGAGAAATCAGAAAATTGAAAGGCATTAATCAAAAGATGATTCCATCCTAGTCCGATCGCCAACTTGTTTCAAATCATATGATAGCATCCTAAATTCATTTTTCTTTGTACGAAATACTTCAGTGCCATTATCACCTAGGTTTTGTAAAACTTTCTTCAATTTGATCTCAGGCCTATTATCGCTAACACAGGCATCGATTACAATCCACGTAAAATTTTTCTTATCAAATGACCTTGTAATTTGCAAAATTTCTAATTTTAACTTCAAAGCAAAACTTTTTATTTTTTATCTGTGCGTGTCTGTTAACATTCACATAATTTGTTGTTGGAAAAAAAAATAAATAAATAAAAAAGAATAACAACGAAACTCTTATACAACATGACCGAAAGTACTTTCGTGGGCGATAACCGTTTACTAACTCTTTTTTTTCCATTTTTTTTTTTATCTTATATTAAAATTTTTCTTATTTTATTTTGACTATTAGTGCTTTGTTCAAAAAAGTCACCGACGCAAGCGAATGAGTTCGATTGTAATCGTTCGACGATTGTCACACATGCAAACTCGTACACACGGGCATACTGGTATGTAGTATAGCGATGGTCGGAAATAGTTTATGCACAGAAGAAGCGGTGAAGGTGTATGTATGTACGTCTGCACAACAAAGAACGACCGCAATTAGATAACAACTTGTAATTGTGTTGTGAAACAAGACGTAATTACGAATGTTTTCTCAATTGCCGCTACAAGGCGATACAAAGAGATTCGTGTGCAGATTAGAAAATGTTTAGTTTTGTGACGAAGGAAAATTGAAGATGCAAATGATGATATTGATTATGATGCTATTTGATAGCGGCATTAACATATTATAAATATGTATTAGATTAATTTATTTATGCAGGCAAAGTTAATCGCTAGGGTAGAAAAGTAAAATTAAGGAACAACAATAATAAATAAAATAAAATATAAACATAATGAAACATAATAACATTTAAAAATATTCTAATAAAATAAAAAAATCAAGTAAAAGAAATTAAAATATCCTTAAACAAAATAGTATAAAAGTATTTAAAATTAAATAAAATAAATTAAAACATAATAATATGTTTTAAACTAAAATACAATTAATTAAAGAAAATAAAATAAAATACAATAAAATTAAAAAAAAAATTAAATAATATATTATATTATTAAATTAAAAAAATAATCAAAATAACATAAAATTGAATTAAAAAATATGAAATAAAATAAAAAATAAAAATAATAGAAAATAAAGTGAAATAAAATGAAATAAGATAAATTAAAACAAGAAAATGAAATGATATCAAATACAATAAAATAAACAAGTAAAGTACAATAGAATAAAAGAAATTAAAATGAGAGATACTAAATCATAATAAATTAAAATAAAATAAAATAACATAAACTAAAATAAATTTATTTAAAAAAAATCAAATAAAATATAAAATAAAATAAAAAAAATAATTATGAAATAAAATAAAAAATAAAAAATAAATAAAATAAATTAAAATAAAATAAAATAACACACAATAAAATGAACTGAAGTAAAATAAAATAAACTAAACTAAAACGAAGTAACATAAAATTAAAATATAATAAAATAAGTAAAACAAAATAAAATACAAAAAAAATAGAATAAAAAAATATAATTAAATTAAAATGATTCGAAAATCGCTTCAGCGGTTTCAAAGCGCCAACCATATATATAAAGTAAAAAAAAAAATTAAATAAAATGAAACAAAAAAAGTTAACCAAAATAAAATAAATTAAAGTGAAATAGAAAAAGAGAATAAAAAAAAACGTTTAAAAAACGAAATAAAACAGCATTAAAAAAGAAGAAGAAAATTAAATAAAGCTAAAATAAAAAAAAAAATATTAATTATAATATGACAATTATTTTTCTAAAATGTCTATATACACATAGATATGTACGTTTAAGCAAATTTTATAATGAAAGGCTGAACTCACACCATTAGTTAGGCACGTTTAGGTACAATATGAATTTTTAAATGCACTGACCTTGGACTTAACATTAAATATCCAATTACTATATTAATTTCTATATTAATAATCTTATACATATAAAAAGTTAAAATATTGTAATATATACATATATATATATATATATATGTCAACTCACCTGACATTGAACCCAACTCGCTGGAATGATTATTATTACTAAGACTTGTATTATTATTATTATTACTACTATTATTGTTGTTGCTCTCTATTGATGATGACGTTAGACTACTTTGTGAGGATTTCTCTAGAACATCGTGATCTTCTTTACAATATAAAATACCACCATCTCGTAACGCAAACTCATCGCCTATAAATATATATGTAAAGAAGACAAAATAAACAAAATAAACAAAACAACAAAATTTATTTGAGAATTGTGTATTACAATATTTTTATAAGAAAAAATAAAAAAATACATTTATATAACGATGATTTGATATTGCATTTACCTGGTAGCAGCTGCCTCGCACACGCTGAACAACGAAAGCATTCAATATGAAATATTTTCGTTTTTGCACGCATCACAAAGTCATTTTTACTAAATGAGCTGCCGCATTTATCACATTTTGTACCAAATAACCTGTAAATAAGGCAAAGAATTCAAAAAATAGCATTAAAAAAAAATTATATAAATATATAAATATAAATATTTATTTTATTTAAAATAATATAAATAAATTAATTTAAATACATATTTCTATATTTTTTCATATATTCAAAGTCATTAATGTATGAATTAAAAAAAATATTTATAATTTATTTTCTTAATAGCGTATAAGCAGGTGCATAACCTTGCAAGGGTGTACAGTTATTGAAGAAAAAAATCAATTCAATTTTTTTATTTTTTTTTTGTGTAAATTTATTTACTGTATTAACTTTGGATTTGTAAAATTTTGGCTTTTCATGAATCATAATCATTGCGCGCTCACAATGTAAATACATCATAAACGAAGTATGCAATATTTATTAATTTTATTTTATTTTTTGTTGTAGTTGGTTTTTATTTATATTTTTTTGAGGTGAAAATTGTGTTAATTTATTATCGTTCGCTTGGCGCGTGTTAATGAATTATTTAAATATTTGTGTATCGACATTGTTCACTCTGCAGCGGTAGCTAATACACACACACATACTTATGTACACTGTACTTTCAAAAATGTATATAGAAATTCTTTCATTACACTCGAAGTTTATTTTTAACTATTAACAGCTTTTATTAGAGTACAACCATTGGTGTGGTTAAACAAATTGAGGCATTTTCATACACGGCAACATCGCATATGAGTTTTTGTGAAAATTATTTTAAACTTTTGACAGCTTGTGGATGTGTGATAGTATAGGTTGTCGTGGTTTTATAAAAAAAAAAATATATATATATATATTTTACAAATATTTGCCTTAATATTTATACACCTTTAAATATAACATAAAGTAGATCCATACATACAGATATACATTTAAAATATATGTATATTGATTGTTTGCTAACATTTTGGATGCCACTGTTGTTAAATTGTTGTTGAATACTCTACAATTGTTATTTAAACGCTATTGTTGTCATATTGTTTATCAAAGATTCGCTAAATACCATTGTGAAGTATACAAATTTGCTTTAGAAGATTTTAATTTGTACAATTCATTTACATATTAGCGGCATTTTCAAGCATACTACGTACATATTGGTATTTATACAAATCGAAAAGTATTTAAAAATGATATAAATTTTTTTTATTTATAATAGCAAATTATTCGTTAGATTAAAAATAGTTTAAAAAAAAAATAAAAATATGTTTAAAATTGAAATTTTTGATTTTTCATAGCCCGACGGCAAAACAACTGTGAAGACTGTACAATTTATTACTAAAATACTTAGTTTTAAATAAATGCAATTTTTATTTTTAGCTTCTTTTTATCGCTCTGGGTGTACTAGGATAAATGACTAAAATAATTTTGGGGTATTAAAATTGTTTATTGTTAGTTTCAAAAAAATTCTAATTTTAATAATTTTGAACAACGAAATAAAGAAAATAAAGAAATTAAATTATATAAAAAAAGAAAAAAATAAATTGAATAAAACAAAATAAATAAAATTAAATAAAATAAAAAAGAAATAAACTAAAGCTAAGAAAAAATGTTCAGCCTAATTCCAAACGATTTTTTGTGAAATCCTTAGCTCTTCGGCAATCGAAACAGTGCTTACATGACTGCCGGCCTCGGCAAGGTCCACGATTTTATCGACATTTTCGACGTTTAGCCCTCTACTCCATGAAGCACCTTTCACATCAAGATTACCGGAATGAACCCGAAATTGTGCAGTATCAGGACCATAAACGCTATAATCACTTGCGTTATCGCCTTGATCCAATTAGACAAAAACAGATATGTAGTCTTTCTAACGCCATTTAGCAGAACCTAATCGGACCTATACAACGCGAGAAACAGATAAATAATGCCATCTATTGTAAAAGTAATGGATTTCTTTTTACTACACCTAATACACCTAATATATACATCAATTTTACTTACTTTATTTATTTTTACATACATATATATATTATATAAATTGAAGGTAAGATTATAGCTGAGCTCACACCTCCAAAATAATCTTGTGTACTGTACCGTATTTTATTTACTGCCTTATAAAAAATTCATCGAAATAATTTTATGCTTATGATCAATCACATGATATCGCTTAAAAATATCAAATAAGAAAAGAATCAATTCAATTTGAATTTATCTGCTTCTTCTTTTTCTTTCTAATTATAAAAGTAACTGTGAAAACTTCATCATCTCCTTTTTTGGCAATGAGGTAAAATAATCAAATTAACATGTCAATATTATTTTATAACTCGGATGCCAATTACCAAACAATAAAATACATATACATATATATATATATATATATATATATATATATACATATATAACACATTTATGCACATGAATATACACGATTTTTTGATTGGAGATGTACTTTAATGTATTTAATATAATTGGTTATACATATGTATGCATGTAGGTCTGTAAACAATTTATATATACGTGTGAACTCATGTATTATAAGTATATGTATAAATGTTTAGTTGCAGAGTTATTTCGATTAAAAAAAAAATTGAAAATATTATTACACAAAAATATAATATATATAAATGGCGCTTTGTAACCGCTGAAGCGATTTTCGACCGAGATCCTCCTCCAATTTAGGCTTTTGCGTCTTGATTTGTTTCTAACAAATGGAGGGACCTACATCTAATGCTAAGCCCCCTTCGAGCGGCTGATGGTTTTTTTTTTAAGAGGAGCCTTTATTTCATGACCGAAATACCCTCGGAGGGGTGGAGATTCCCTGCCGAGGGGCGACCGCAATTAGAAAACCTAACTTAATTTTCTATAACTTTGGGATGTTGGCAGTACGCAATGCTAAGCACTTGGCTTTCGCGGTCGCCATATAAAAACACAATAAACAGCTGAATATAACCAATATAAATAACGAAAAAAAGATATAAAAAACTAAGATAAAATACAATTTAATATACATATATAATTAAAATTAAATAAACAAATAGAAAAAACTAAGAAAACTGAAAGAAAAGAAAATTTAATATATGTACATAAATAATAAAAATAAAATAATGCAAAATCGAATAAAATAAAAGAATAGAAAATAAAAGTAAAGTAGTAAAAAGAAAAAAATTAAAGTAAAATATAATAAACTAAAATTAAAATTAAATGAATAAAAGGAAGTAAAATAAAATAGAATGAAAAATTAAATGAAAAAATTAAAGGAAAAAAATTAAGGCAAATTTTTGAATATAAGATAAAATTAAATTAAATAAAATAAAGCGAAATTGAACTAATTTAAAATAAAAGAAGAGTACGATATTTAAGAGGAAATAAAATAATAAAACAAAATGAAATCAAATCAATTTAAATTAAAATGAATTAAAAAAATAAATAAAACAAAGAATGAGTAAATTAAATAAAATGTAAAAGAAATGAATATATATAAAAATTATTTAATATTAAGTTCATTAAATTATTTAAAGTCACTCAAAGGCATGCTGCATCCTGTTCATATAAATTTTCATATTTCTCAGTTTAACTCTCATACATCACATGATAAATAAGATAGCACGTCGCATAACAGTGACTTTAACCACATGACTTTCAAATAAAAACTGCCAATGGTACTAGTCGTGAAGGTGCCACTAAACGCGTGGCATTGTACGAATTATATTCAAGCGTGCGGCTTAACCTCAACTGAAGTTCGATGTTTTTTTTTTTTTTTTTTTTTTTTTTTTAAGAAGCTATTTAGTTGCCGGGCGCCGTTTAAGCGCGTGTAAATTAACTAACTAGGCAAAAAAAAAAAACATTTTCCAAAAACTGCAACTATATTAATATGTGTAAAATATAGCACTTAGACACGAATTTTTTAATGCCTAGAGCGGAGGTGAAAATAAGTAGCCAAAAAAGAAAAATAAGTGCGGTGTGAGTAGTAAAAATAAACTGCGTTTAGCATAACATCACACTAATGTGCGTATTTGTTTATTAACAGAAAATGTATAATTTATCTATATTTTATTAATAAATATTTTTACTTCATTTCTTATTAATATACAATTTAAATTTGATGCAAATAAATATATATGAGCTTATATTTGTTGTTAATTTTTCATGTTGGTTTTATCATTTCTTTATGAATCTTACTTTTAGTTAAAAGAATAACATTTTTATTAGCTTTACATATTTTTAAAATTTTTAATTTTTGTTAATTTGTCTGTTAGTATTTTAAAATTTTTATTTTTTTTGGGTATCTCACCTAATTAAATAAATATAAATGAGCTCATAACTCAGCTACATATTTAATTTTTTACTTACATTTTTTAAGTTTTTTCATTTTCTTATCACTTTCTTCTTAAATTTTTTTTTATCTTTTTATTAAATTTTTTTTATAAAATTTTTTTTTCAATACTTTTTGTTAAATATATTTTTTTTAAGTTTATAAATCTTTTCAATTTTTTTTATTTGAATTTGTCAAATGTTTCATTTTTGTTGTTGTTACTTTTTTATTTTTGTATTTTTTTTATTTTTTATATATATTTTTTTTTGGTAACTCACCTAACATAATCACGCTTACAATACGTTTTGCCGTCACGCACAAAACACGTACAGCTTTCGTCCAGAAATTGTCGGCATTCCTGACATTTGAGGCATGCCGCATGCCATTCCAGATCGGGTGCCACGCGCAGGATGTATTGATCGTGAATTTGACCGCCACAGCCAACACAAAGTGATAAACGTTGTTTTTCTGCAAAGAAAAGAACAGAATGAAAATTAATTCAAAAAATTTACAAAGAAAACCAAAAATGTTTTAGTCCCAAAAAAAGGATACGCACAGAAATATACAAAATGTTTAAACTCAAATTTTTATGAAAAAAAAAAATAAATATAATATAATTTATTAGAAAATTCAATAAATATTGAAACAATTTTAATTGCTCAAAATCTATATTTTCCAGTTGATGTGGACTAAATGAATTCAATTTAAATTTCTGAGCTGTCTCAGACCATTTATTTTTGGGATAGTGACAATTTTACAACAACAGTTTGAACAATCCAACAGAACAATGACCTAAAACTTTTGATATTTCCTACTTTTTTGTCTATTGCCAGGCAGCATAGGCAGCTTTAGGCAATTAAAAAAAAATATTTTTACACAACATTCTACGTAAATTTATTTTTAACAAAGGCGGAGAAGGATTAAAAAAATCGTTTGAATTGAAGTGGATTTTTTGAAGACATTGTTCGGAAAATTTTCTTTCATTTGCATTAAATTGAATTTTGCACATTTTTTTTGGGCGACGTTGTACTTTTTTCATTTAAGATATACATACATACATATGATGCAGATGTTTTATTAAAAGAAATATGCATGAATAAATAAATAAATGTATGTACATATTGTATGCCTTTTTCCCATTTATCCACTGTAGCATTTACATTTTCAATTTAGATGTACATACATACGTAGTATTTTTATAAATTTATATTTCTCTCTACTTTAATTTTTTTTCGTGTGCATCAATCTGTGTTTTTCTTCATTTAATTTAATATCGTACACAAACACACATGTTCATACATAAAATATCAAAAAATATAACATTTCGTAGATTTTACTTTGCGGCTTCTAATAAATTATTTTGTAAGTAAAAAAACGAGCATTTTTTAAACTCTATTATTTCTCTTTTTGGTTTTTCAGTAATTTATCGAAATTTAATTTTAAGTTTTTTTTTTTTTAACAACACTTTTGCATACTGTCATAAACGTTTGACGTAACATGTTAAAATATTTATAGGAATTATAAAATTCTGCTGTCGAAATAATCAAACAAGTTTATTTGATTTGAATTTTTATGTCAGTTTTATGAAAGGAATAAAATAAATTGTGGTTTTGCCTAAAAAAAAAAACAAAAACAGAAATGGATTTTAAAATGTATGAGGGTAAATAAGAGACAAAAGTAAGATATAAAACCATGTGAATTACATTAAGTGGTAAATATATATAATATAATATGTAATAAAGGCAACATATAATTTAATGTAGCTTTTTTTACATAACCTCAAAAATTAAAAAAAAAAAAAATTATATATATTTATATAAATATCTGTATGAATGTTCTATAAAAATTATTATTTTCATTAATTCAATTTTTAATATTTTTATTTGAAGCACAGTAAGTTTGAAACTATAAATATAAAATGACACAAGAAATTAGAAAAAAGTTAGTAAATACAAGTCAATTTTTTTTTCTGCAAAAACTACTCAAAAAATTTAAGAAAAAATAATTTGTTTTGAGCTTCATTTTTTCGTCAAAAAAAAATGCAATTCAAGTATTTTGCATTGAAATTCTCTTATTACATTTTTTTTAAAATTAAAAATAGTTTTTAAGGAATAACCACTTTCTAATAATATTAAAAAAGTAAAAACATTAAATATTTATGTAATTAAAAGTTAAATAAAAAATGTCCTTTTGATGATGAAAAATAAAGCCAAAATATATTTGCGACTTTTTAAAGAATGCTTATAAGAAATAATTTTCTTTAAACAAAAAAAGTCATAGTAGATAATCCTTTGCTAAAAGCAGAAAATTATAATTAGAAAAGATTAATTGTAATACAGTAAGGGGTTATTAAGCTATAATAAATGTACAACAATTTCTTGCTATCAATTAGAGGGTGCCACTAGTGCTGGCATCACTGCTGTGGAACAGTGGCTTCTCCTTAGCAGAGAGGTGATGATTGCATAGTTACATACCGAAAGTCAGTACGTAAAATCCTCTCTAATCTGCAGACCTGCAACTCTAATCTTTCATTACTTATGAATGCATTGGAAAATATTATGGACTCATAGAACTTGAGGTTAACATATCTAAACCCAAAATGAAGAGGAGATTCACTGAGCCGGCACTCCGCTCGCGATCGGCAAATATAGAAAAAAGCTCCGAAGCATAAGTCATCAGATACAAGGAGAAATTAAGATGCAAAACCATGGTCTATATGAAGGAATGATTACAAATATAATGCAATATTTGAGACAAAATCAGTTTTTCTACTCGCCAAGCAGAATATTGCCACAAAATTGATTAAAACAGGAACTTATAACAATTTAGAGAGTAGGAAAAATTGTATTTTTTATTTTTTTTTTTAAATTTTAAACATTTTATAACGCAAATTATCTGGAATTAAGCTAAATAAAATGAAAAAAGGGACCTTACTGCAATTTCCAGAGCTTTAATGATTTTTATTTCAAATTTTGACAAACAGTCGAGTGTGTACTTTTAAACAACGGAACTAACATCGTTGAAAAATATATGTAGGTATGTATGTAGTATGTAAATTCTTTCCGCCTGCCAAAGGACTGAAGAAAAAATGCTGAAAAACCGTAGAATACCAAGAGAGCTATAAAATTTCAAAGTTGAAAAAATGTGAAAAAAAGAATTGGCTTGTGTTGTATGGCAATAACAATTCGGCCGAATAAAACGGCATTTAAAATCATTTAAGACGTACACATACATAAACCAAAACGCGCTAGCAAAAGTTTCCGTACGACAAGCCAAAGTTTTTCTGTACCTTCTTATCTACTCACACTCAATTATTTTGGAGCCAAAAGAAAAAAAAAATGCTTCACGCAGAAGGAGCCAAGAGTCCTAAGCTGAACCATTTTTTTTTTGCAAAAGTACTCACATGAATACATATATATATGTGTATATATTTGCAGTCGAAAGCCCACACATATAATTGTAGTCAGTTTAAGCTCTAAAGAGTCCGCCAACTTTGTTAATACGCCTTTCCCATACTCCATATCCTTCTTCTTTCTACTCTTTCTCCTTTTTCTGTATTTACTTCTCTTTTATGCACCTTTATACAAGTATAGAGACTCTCCCCCCGATTCGTTGTGTTATACATTTTCCGCCCTTTTGGTAAATATGTATCTACGCATGCACATACCTATGTCGAATGTATACACGTGCATACATACATACCTAGAGGACTATATAACGCTTTTGTAATTGCATTGATTTTTTCACTTTACTTCTTCTTCACTCTACTATTACATTATTTGCTCTTGCCGTTATTTTCTTGCTTTTTACTTCTTTCAATTCCCTTTCGTAGTTTTGCCACCTGTCCACCGGGACGTATACTTAACATTCTTTCATTTCCTCGATAAAATAGTGACTGTTTCGCATTTTGCTACTTTTTTTTTGCATACATACATACAGACACATTTATATACAAACGCTAAATGATAAAAAAGTGTACGTACTCATTCAAACTTGCAATTTTTTTCCCTTTATATACATATCTATATACAAACCGATGTGCATAAGTTTTCTACACTTTTGCAAGTTTGTCTTCATTTAGTTTCTGCAAAGTTGTTATTGTATTTTTTTTGCGTTTTGTTGGCAAAAAAAAATGGCAAGTAAAATATAAAGCTTCAGTAAAAGTAAAGAGAAAAAATAAACACCGTTAAAAGAACGTTAAATGTGCGTAATGTGCGCTGAAGTTTTCATTTCGTTTATTATGAAGGATGGCACATTCCACTTGCGCCGAATCCCCCAGGCTTCATGCCGCTCTTGAATCATCTCGTGCTTGTAATTTTTGCTTTAAAAGAAATTTAAGTTTTGCGAAAATGAAACTTTTTATGGCAAACTGGGGAAAATCGTACATATATACAATATTCCCCGTACGTGAGAGCCATAAAGGCCTGAAAGTGAGTTGAATAAATTCTTTGAATTTTTTTCACGGTCTATTGATATGATATTACTAATATATTTAAAAATTAAATTAAAAAAAAGAATAAAAGTTCAAAAGAGGAATTTTTAAAATTTTTTTTTCAAAAATATTGAAAGACAAACTAAAAAAAAATGAGATTTTTTTTTTGAAGTTACGTAATCAAATGTAATAATGAAAATAATTATTTTCTGCTTGTCGTTTGCAGTGTCCTGTAGTCGTTAAATTACTCCATCGCGCTTTGATCCGATTTTCCCTCGTCAATACAGAGGCCTTAGCGTATTTGACATTTTCTACGATATTGTGCTATTTCGCTCCCCAATACGTTCAAGCTGCATTGTTGATTCTTCATTTCAAAGAAGGCGACTTGCTGTCCGAAGTCTACCTCAGTCTAAGTTTCGGTAGCCCTTTACCGACTAAAACGTGGGGGTGTATACGCCAAAAATATTGAAAACAGTCCCGAGTTTGTTCTTTAGACTGGATAAGGAAGTGAAAAGTAGTAATGAATGAGGACAAGATCAAAATATCTCCTGACATTAGTCTAGTTTCGAGAAGGGAAGACCTCCACTTCATTATATATAGCAAATGCAGAAGAATCTTGCTGTACTTGGTATTTCTATGCTCATGACTTCCGGTCTTATGCCAATTATCCTATGGGGAACCAACCAACATCAATTTAGAGGCGAACTGAAGCCAAAAGGCGAATCTCCTGCTGTTGTAGTTAAGACTTGGACCACATAAAAAAATATACTTCAATGAAACACTTTAACAAAGCCTCTGATGAGAGACACCCCTTTTGATGACAATAAGTGGTGCCTATGCCTGAGATAAGGTTGAACGGTTGTAGAATCAGTAGACTGTATCTTCGCTTCTTTATCTATTTTATTGCAGAGCCCATACAGTAAGATATTAGGGTAACCAATTTAGAGAGATGATTAAATAGAATTTCTCAGCATTCCATTCTTCTTTCTTTACACAGAACGCCCTAAAGAATATCCAACTTTTTCAAAAATTCTGC